TACTCCGGGCAGAGCGAGTAGGCAAACCCACCTGCATCTTCTCTGAATCACCCGGTACACTAGCCCACATCCACGGGTGCCGACTGGTTTGCTTATCGTCTTCATCATGCACCCAGGAAAGCGTTTTCTCGACTCATGATTTAGCAAGAACATTTGTATCGGGGCAATTCAATTTTCAGTTGCCCTAATGAAATGAAATTTGCATATGGGACAAGCCAATGCTCTCGGTCGAGGGATCGTCCAGCAGAACGTTCGTCCGTTTTACTCAGATTCATTCGGACGGAAAATTACGGGAGCTGGGCGCCTGCGAGACTTGGGGTACGCCATCCCGCAGTACACGCATGCACGGCAGACAAGATATTGCCTACCTACCAGGCGTTCTGGGAGCTTGCTGCGAATGACGGACGTGCTTTCTGGATGAACCCTGAGCCGAGCACATTTACTTCATTCAAAAGCACTCTTTTTGTGTGTGTGTCGCCTTTATGGACCCGTTTTCCAACTCAAGCGTGTTGTCTAGAGACATCCTCCTCCACACCATGTCTTGACCACGCTCACATAGCCGCGGCGATGACATAGTAGTAGACTTTTCTTTCCCCCCTCTCGAGAAAAAAGTAGCAAAAAAGTAGCAGATCTTGATATCGATGAAACGCGGGACGGAGAAGGATTAGAGCGACTGTTGGCCGTGCGGATTATACACGTGCGCACTGTGGCGACCACGAGTAAAGGGAAGGGAGGGATCCTTCCAGAAACGGCAGACGGAAGTTGAGGACAAGAAAAAAGACGCTCACGCTGGAAACCGACAGCATTGATTTTTATTATGTTTTGTTCCACCTCGTCACTGCACGGCCACCCAAGGACGCCGCTCCACTTACGTTACGACCGCTCTGACATGAGGAGTCCCGTCTTTACTGACAGCGTTTATACCCGACAGACAGACGTCTTGGCGTTCAGCACGCGTGTTTGTATTGACCACGTCCATACAGTCCTGTCCAAAATTCCCCAGTGAGTTTTGGAACACGAGCGTCTGAATAGAAATAATACTCGCCGTCTAATCATTGCTGCCTACTGGGTCCCCCTTTTTTTTTTTCAGATATTACAAAGTTGCCGGCAGGCCGCTGAGAGGGGCATCGGCAACGCGATGGTCCACAACGGCGTCGGGGCTCGAATCGGAAGCTGGCAGGTAAGGTGAAACGGGCTACCTTTCCTTTTCCAGTCGCGAATTTGCTGCCTGCGCCTATCGAGTGCAATCTTTTCTCTGTCTGTCTGTCTGTCTGTCTGTCTGTCTGTCTGTCTGTCTGTCTGTCTGTCTGTCTGTCTGTCTGTCTGTCTGTCTGTCTGTCTG